GAAGAAGGGGCTGGGTGTTATTTCAGCCCTGTCAGAGGGGGAAAGGCAGAGCAGCTTCCCCTGAGCCAGCCCAGCTGGGAGCCGAGGGTGGATTTTGGGAGGATCCCGCTCACCCTGCCAGAGCTGGATGCTCTGGGGCTCCACAGAGGGCCAGATCACCAGGGGGTTGTGTGAGTAGAGAGGGTTCAGGTACTTCTGCCTCTCCTCAGGCTGGTTCAGCCAGGCCCAGAGCGAGTGTGTGCTTTCCTTCACCTTACACAGGCTCCTGGGGGGGACAGGCAGGACACGTTTCAGTCCCCAGCAGGGTTTGGTGTCACCTGAGCCGTGACCAGGAGGGGTTTGGCCCTGGCTGTGCCCCACACCGACCTCTCCTTCTCGTTGTTGCACAGGAAGGTGCCGTAGGAGGAGGCGTAGGCGTTGTCGAAGAGGGTGAGGAGCAGCTGCTCCCCAAATTCCAGGGAGAAGGGGAACTGGCGGCTCAGCTGCCACACGCAGTCGAGGAAGAGGAGGAAAATCGGAGCCTCCTGCTTGCCTCGGCCGTGGGAGGAGGCGGAGCGGGCGCAGCGCAGCTGGAAGGGGTGCCCGGCCTGCGGGACCCCCAAGGGGATACGGGGTGAGGGGACCCAGCCAGGCTGGGATCCCCACCCTCCTCAAAACTGCGGCTCTCACCTGGATCCATTCCCGCTCCAGCAGCCCCTGGAACCCCTCCAGGCTGCGGCAGGACGGGTCCAGGATGAGCTGGGCCAGCGCCGTCACCAGCAGCGTCGCGTCTGTCCCCTCCGCCCCGTGCACCAGCACCTTGCAGCCCTCCCTGCCGCGGTGATTCCAGGGCTCAATCCGCGTTTTGGGCCACGCTGGGGGCTCAGGAAAAGGGAAAGGTGGGCGAGGTGCAGCCCCCCTTACCTGTCCAGGCACTGAGCAGCCAGGCAGGCCGTGCTCAGGGCGGCCTTGACGTGGCTGAGCCAGCGGCTGCTCTCCAGCCGGCCCAGCCAGCGGTCCATGCCCTGCTCAGCGCACGCCTCCACCAGCCTGATGAAGCTCTCCTGCAGCGGGCGGCCTCTGCGAGAGGGGACGGAGGTGTGGGTGGCTCGCTGAGGCTGTCCCCACGTCACACCTTCAGCACCCAAGCCCTCACCTGTCCAGGGCTCGGTGGAGCCTCCTCCACTGCGGGTACGAGGATTTGGGCTCGGTGCCGCCGCCGCTCATCCGGGCCTGCTTGGCCGCCTGCGCCGAGCGCGTGTCGATGATGAAGCCTCGCTCGCCCTCATCCAGGATTGTCCCCAAGAGCTTCTCGTCCTCGCGGCACCGCCGGCGGTTGGGCCCGGTCAGGGGCTGGCTGCTGCGGAGCAGGGCCTGGAGGAGACGGTGGGAGCAGCTGGGAATGTCCAGCCTGGAGAGGGAAGGCTCCAGGGTGACCTTAGAGAGCCTCACGGAGCCTAAAGGGGCTCCAGGAGAGCTGGAGAGAGACTTGGGATGAGAGAGATGGAAGGACAGGACACAGGGAATGGCTTCCTACTGCCAGAGGGCAGGGATGGATGGGATGTTGGGAAGGAATTCTTCCCTGTGAGGGTGGAGAGGGGCTGGAATGGAATTCCCAGAGAAGCTGTGGCTGCCCCTGGATCCCTGGCAGTGCCCAAGAGCAGACTGGACAGGGCTTGGAACAACCCGGGACAGTGGAAGTGCCAGGAGTGGAATGGGATAATCTCCAAGATCCCTTCCAAGCCAGTTCTGGGATTCTATGGAGGAGGAATCCCTCCTAGGGCACACGGGCAGCAGCACGGGGGGCTCCCAGCCCCCTTCCCCCGCGGTTCCGAGGGCCGGGCCGGACTCACGGTGCCGTTTTTGGGGTGGAAGTAGCTGAGCACGGGGAAGCGCCCGCCCTGCCGGAACGCCGCTGCCTTGGCCACGGTGTCATCGCTCACGGCCGCCGGCACCATCACGGCGGGAGGGTACGAGGGGCAGGCGCTGAAGTCCCGGTTCCCCGTGCTCAGCCGCCACTGGCTCGTCTGGGGGACAGGCGACATCAGCGGCCAGCCCGGCACGGCGCGGGGAAGGCAGCGGGTCCCTCCCGGCCGGGCTCACCTGCGAGGCGACCTGCTGGAAGTATCGCTCGAGGGGGGACTGGTGCCAGCCCTGCTGGAGCCGCAGGCCCGGGGGGCGATAGAAGAACGGGTACATCATCATCACCGAGTCCACCGAGGAGAGCGCCTGCGGCGGGGACACGGCCGGAGCTGCTCAGGGACACTGCAGCGGAGCGCTGGCGATGTCTCTGTGTCCCAGCCCCGAGTGCCATCCCCGAGTGCCAGCCCCGAGTGCCATCCCCGAGTGCCAGCCCCGAGTGCCTGCCCCGAGTGCCATCCCCGTGCCCCCACCCCCGTGTGCCCCCCCCGACGGCCAG